TGTTACACTTTAAAAAAATCTTTTTTGTTGTTACACTTTGAAAAAATTCGATTTTGTTGTTTCATTTCAATAAATTTTTTATTTTTGTTTCACTTATATGTGTTGTGAATAGAAGTTGCGTTTTCATTCTCGGACATTCATATATCTCTAAATTATTTTCCAAAATGGTGATTTCCATTACAGAGAATGATGGATTGGACCAGACTTTTATCTTCAATTAAATTTCCAGGAAAGAGATAAGCACAAAGACGTGTTTTTAATCACTTCTTTATTGTGGATTTGTTTTGTTTTATGGTTATTGTTGCTGTGTTTGTGTTTTATCGTTTAAAGTGCTGTTGCTGTCTGGAGTTTCACTACCTTGTTCCTTTGCGATTGTTTTATATATGGACATGGCTTGTCCCACTAGCGATGAAATATCGCCAGCATCTGGAGAATTACAAAAATTAACACTGATTTACTGAGACAAAATTGCTAATTTACTTACTCGAAGGCAAGATCAATGTGTTATTTGTGCGAGCTAATTGATTGAATGCATTCACGTATTGCTCAGCGATTGTTAAAGAGGCAGCATTGCTCCCGTAATTCTGTGATAATCTGAAGAGTTGAGGGCGAGGAGGAGATGTGTTTTAATCATTTCATTAAAATTAATCAAGGAATCATTCTATTATACGTGGAATCCGTAGAAGATGAAAATTGCCTTACGCCTTTGAAATAACAGTCAATCCAACAGCTCGGGCTTCGGCAACTTTGATCATGCCTGCGGCTTCACCAGTCGCATGATTTATTTGTTCTAACTTTTGAGCTTCTGAGGCAAGTATTTGGGCCTGCCGTTTACCTTCAGCCACATTAATTTCAGCATCACGAATACCTTCTGATTCAAGAATTGCAGCTCGTTTTTTACGCTCGGCTTCTACTTGCATTTGCATTGCTTCATGCACTCTTGATGGTAGCTAGAAGTATTATTATAAGGAATGAAATTAAAATTCAGTTTTGCAACGCAACGGAAATTAAGTGACTTACTTTTATATCCCGAATCTCGTATCGAAGACATGTTATACCTGCAATGAAATCAAACATTATAAAACCGTAATGCCAAATATACAGTATAAATATACCCCACGCTTCACTAGCTTTGTTTATAGCATCGACGATCGATACGTTCAACGATTCCCGCTCACGAAACACTTTGTCCAGTGTCATTTTTCCCAATTCTGATCGCATAGTTGTTTGTGCCAGTTGTGTAATTGCAAATTCTGGATCTTCAACACCATAGGACGCTATAAACAGTATCGGTTCATGAGATGTTCTGTGTAGTCAGTTATGAAAAGAATAATTCATAGAATTTACCAAGATATGGATCAACAATACGTAAGTATAGAACACCATCAATGCCTAGAGTGACGTTGTCTACGGTGATAGCACTCTGCTTGGGCACATCAATTGCGATTTCTTTCAAACTTTGAACGTATTTGACACGATCAACAAACGGCATAAGGACGTTTAATCCTGGATCCAGGATTCGATTAAATTTTCCCATCCGCTCGACAATCCAAGCTTCTTGCTGTGGCACAAACATTATTATGGTATTAAGCGGTGTAGATGTTCTGTGCCTCACGGTATATTCGGGACTTGATTGGAATTGTTCAACCAAAGGGAGATGCTACAACATAAAATGTTATTGTGAAATCAAATGAATGTATATGTATGCTAAAAAAAGAACTTACGCTAACAGAGAGTGGTCGTCTATAAGTGGCCATAGATCTTGTCAGTATTGAACGTAACATTTTTGATTTATTTTCGATAGGTTTACGAAATCTTTAAACACCAAAACGTGAATGGTTATCCCGGTACAGCTATGTACTGCTTTGAAACGTCAGAACATATTCCATTTGACATTTCTCTTTGAAAAAAAAACACTAAATTCAAAATAAGAACACTTTGAACGAACACAACCACACTTTAATTCCTAACCTCAAAATTATGGGTTCTTTTCATTTGAAACATTATTTTACCTTATGCAAAACATATTTTAAAGTTTCATCAAAAATATTTTGTGATTCGTAAACAATTGAGATGAAAAACGCAATTTCCTTTATTGGCCATTTCCACATAATTTTTCAACAAACTTATAATAACAATATCGAGCATCGTAGTCCATATCAAACCAAAAATTGACGGCTATACATTTATGGCTCTGTTGAACATGATGATACCACAAGCTTGGTAAATACAGTATGTCTCCTTCGTTGACTCTGACTTTAAAAGGAGTGCTTTTCTGAAATTCAGGATATTTATTATGATTAGGCTTCAGGGGGTCAACACTAACCCACTCAATTTGTATTGGTTCACCACTTTCTGCAAATATACAAAATAATGATATGTTGATTTTAATAAGGTATTAGATGTCAAGATTGGAACAAGCCTACCGTCAGCAACTGGATCGATGAACATTTCTCCATTCTGTGCCATCTTATAGGTACCAACCGGATATTTTCTTCGATTAACGTATGCATAGTCGGTTGGTGGAATTAGTATGAATTCTTTGTATCCAGATATCACGCAATACATGTTTTCGTATGGGTCTTTGTGAAGGGATGTGATTGCACGCTGATCGCCCATCCAAAAATTCACCGCATCTGGTTCCTTATTTGTATTTGTATTTATTATTAGCTTTCGCTCTAAGTTTTTACAATAAATTACATTATATTCTCATATAATTGGGTGGTGCTGTTTTATGTATATTATGCATTTGAGTAGTTTGGAGCGAAAATGTAATACAGAAAAGTTGCGCGGAAAAGAGATTGCTACATAGTTCACTATAGTTTACTATACAGTATACTGTATAGCTATCCCTTTTCCGCTCATTCATCATCGACATTTTTCCGCGCAACTTTTCTGTATTACATTTTCGCTCCAAACTACTCATTTATTTTCAAATAAATCAATTTATTTACCTTATTGAACGCTTCGAATGCAAATTTCAACGCATGCATGTCAATGTCGCCCAATAGCTCGGGAAAGTCTTCTGATAAGTTGGAGTTTTGTTTTTGGATGTAATACACGTTTGGATTTGCACTTTCCTCCAATTTCGCCAGAAAGTCTTCCATTTTCATAGTTTGTTCTTCAGGCAAAACAAAATATTCTTGGTTTTCAGGCTTTTTCACCGCAATTCCATCCGCATATCCATTAGGTGTTATAGCGACTTTCGTTAGCGTTCTCCCATACGTTGTTCTACTAGTTGAAAAATATGTTGAAATCTACCAAAATATAGATTGATATGTCTGCTAACAAATCCGTACCGAAAAAACTCTGCATTCCATTTTGAAGATGCTTGCCACTTTGAACATGCTCCTCGAATGATCACCGGCCGATTTTTTGCGACAAAATCACGAGAAAACTCCAGCGCCGTTGGCTCTGAGAAAAGCTCGCAAATTTGTTTATCTAAAAATAAGTCTGAAATTCGGCCATTTATTATTGTTCCCTTACAATGTTTTCATTGCTGGCGCCCTACCTTTGGCCTGTGTTGAAAGTACCTCGAATGCACTCAATAGATCATTTTTCAGCATATTGGAAGAACGCACCACACATATTCCCAATCCATATCAAACTGTTATTTTAAGTTTCAGATTCTCATAAAATAGTGACAGCTTATGATGACAGTTTATTTTTGACAGTCTGCATTGTCAAATACCAATGTAATCTATAATTTCTGATGAACTTCATAGGATTTTGAACCATTCACAATGATGTGCACTGGGATTTCACTGCAAACATTTATCTTTTATCTGTTAACAGTTTCGCGAGAAACATGTTAAATGATAAGAAAAAGTATTGATGAGATTTCTATTTTTCCGTGGATAATTTGAGCCAGAACTTCTGAAGGTTGGTGGTCCAGGGGGAAGTAATTTCGAATTGCAAATTTTCATTTGGGGGTAATTTTGAAATCGAGTATGGGTAATTCCAAAAGTGAAGAGCAAAAAAAAGGTCCTCACTTTCGAATTTAAATCAGAGTATGGATAAAATTTTCCACATAGGTGTAATGTGCCAAAATTAATTCAGACTCTGAATTTAAGAGGGAGGGGTAATTTGACCCCTCGGACCCTGCTTCAGAAGCTTTGAGCGCAATTGGTGAAAGATGAAAGATAAAGGATAAATGTATCAGAAAAGATACAGAGCGAGTCCTAGAACTTTTCCAAACACACCAATTTAAATATTGCTTGAGATTAAGAGATTCCGCGGAAAAACGAAAAACCGCAATACTCACCTTTTCGAAAATTATGAATCGAATAAAAAACATACTCAGGTCTATCATTAAAAACATCCTACCCGAAGTCATTTCAGTTCATCTTCCAAGATTCGAATATCTATCTTAATATTACTTCTCTGCAAACAAATTTTCTTAGGAAAAGTATTGGTTTTAACCGCAGGATTTTGCGGCTTATATTCTCCCTCGGCCAACTAAGAAGTCAGGTAAAACTGCTCTAGGCCATATCTGTGAATGGGGCAATGTTATTGCGTGCAATTCCCATCGATCAACACCTGTTATAATGAACAATACAGAGGTCCAAGAGGTTATTTGAAAGCATTGAATTTCTATCTATTCCGTTTGTAAAACAAAACAAAATAAAAGTGACATGTTTGAATCATTCGCAATGGAAAACAAGACATTAGGGGTGATCAATTTTCAAAAAAAAAGGATTCAAAATTTAATAGTGCGGGATCGAAAGATCATGAGGAGAGATGAAAAAATGATATTTTCATAGCAAAATGCATGAAAAACGTAACTTTTGTTCGGGAGGTACCTGAAAAAGCCAATTTTCAGAGTTTTTGTCTGGTAAGACTCCCCATATTTTCGAAGAAAAATAACTCTGCACAAAGACACCTACTCCAAAAGGCCTATACTTAAGGATTTTTTGGCCAAAAATTGATTTTCTGAGAGTTGAAATCGAACCAACCGAATATGCGGCTAGAAATATACGAAAACATCACTCGACTTGGTCATAATGTTCGTGAGGGATCATACTAGATGTTCAAAGGTAGCAAAGGCAGAAATTGTTTGCTCAATGGGGTGATTTAGCCGTGAAACTGAAGCTCATGGTCGTGATTTGCACAATTTGGTCCCAGAAAATCGTACTTTTTGACACAAAAATCACACAAACCTGTAACAAATGAAACTAGAAATCGATCCCTCGTCTAAAATTGGGTGGATATAGACACATTTTTGTAAGTATGTTGGCTATAATTTGGCTTTTAGAATTTTTAATTGAAAAAAAATGGCCAAATTTGAGGTGATTTTCGAATATTTGTTGCTCTATCCATGTCCAGAGGCACATTTTGAGTTGTGATATGGCGTTATATCGATAGCTAGGAACAAACTGAGTCGGATAGAGGTATTTTCAGATTGATTTATAGTGGACTGGATCACCATAAATGGGCAAATATACAGAAAAATGACAAATTTCGGCGATTTTTGGCAAATTGACACTATTTTTTTGAATATCCTGAAATAAATCGCTGTAAATCGATCCTATTCAACGTATTTTGCTACGAGCTGCCGAATTACGGCAAAAAAACGGTATGTTTATGCATCACATTTAGAGCAAATTGCGATAATATGTCGAAAAATGGTCATTTTTTAGGTGATTTTCAAAAAAAATCCGGGGTGACACCAGGCAAAAAAGTGCCGGAACAAAATTTTCATCTCTCCTCATGATCTTTCGATCCCGCACTATTAAATTTTGAATCCTTTTTTTTGAAAATTGATCACCCCTACTGTGTATCCCAAAAAATTATTTGTTTTCTATGAAAAATTTGTAAAATTGGGATACGCTGCGAGTTATGGTTAAAAAATTGAAAAAATCGCCTTTTTTTCGACATTCCGCTCCATAGAATCTACTAGATGGGATTTTTCATGTGTAAAATATTCATAAAATTTATTTATTGGACTCTCAGCTACAACTTTGACTCAAAAAGTAAAAGATATCTCCAAATTTGGATAATTTATTGACCAAAAAGTGATGACGTCAAAAAAGCAAAAATAATATAGAACAAAAAAATTACACAGGCATATAAAATCTAAACCGACGCCAAACTAGCCAAATCCAATGAGGGTTTTACTATGGCATAGGAGTACTTTAACCCTCTATAGTCAAGGTCTTGTTCTATCGAACTTTTTGAAAATTGTTCCACTGTGTTATTAAATGCTTTTTATAAAAAGCATTTAATCCACCTTGATCGGTAAATTGAAAACAGAAACCAACCACCAATTCAAAATAAAACGTTTCATTTTTTATTCCACAAAATAGCATTGATACCAAAATAAATGTTGACTTCCGTTTCAGGTGCCATCCTATCTTTTATGTTTTAAAAAAAGTCACTGATTCCATAAATCTTAATAATCGATCGATCGATTAGGAACATGATTGGTACTTATACTGATAATTTACTCAAATTCTCAACGAGAGAGCTACTTATTGACTCTACA